ACTGTGTGCGACGTAACTTAATCAACACATTTTGACTAGGAAGGCAAAAGGTGCTTCTCTTTCTGCTGATCAGCCTCAATCTGCATACTCTGTCTGAAGTACATTGAGAGTTACTTTTGAATCTAACAGTTTCCACTGGAGTCATAGTTTTCTGACTTTTTCTTAGCAGCAATTCGGTTTCTTTTTAATGGCCTTAGGAAATTTTGGGCTGTTTTTTTCTCCTGCCAGGGGTACTTTAGACACACTTTGAGGTATGCAAAAACTTAAAGGACATAGAACACTGATGGCTGGCTTACGCTGCCAAACTTCATCACCTTTAGACAAGGAGAGTAAGTATATAAAACTATTTTGATACTATTTTACACATCAGCAGAAACAGAGAGAAGATGGCAGGAAGGGGGGGAGACAGTCTCCCCCCCTTTATTTTTTCAGACATGTGTTTTAGAGAGAACAAATCAAGTGTAAGGTAGTGTTTTTTAAATTACATCTCCCTCTGTCTAGTGATAAGAGGCAGAAACGGGGGGAGGAGGGGGCAGGCGCCAGGCTCACACGTCCCCCGGCTGTGTGATGAGAAGGAAAGTGGTAACATACATCAATACTATTTTTATTATTATGTGTGGTGGAGGGCTTTTCTATTAGGGGCTAAAATAAGATTTGATGTAGCGCCCGCGGTCCACGAGCAGAGATATAGGGGAGACGTCACACAACACACACACACACACACACACACACACACACACACACACACACACACACACACACACACACACACACACACACACACACACACACACACACACACACACACTTGGGGGTGGGCCCACCTGTCAGTTGTTATGCATACTAATGTGATTGAAACAGCATTTTTTAATTATTTTTTATTATACACCTTAAGGCGCAACAGTGGGGGCTTTTCACACCTGTGAATACACATCACCCCCCCTCCTATCGACGGATCTCACACCTACTTGGGATATCACACCTACTTGAGATCTCACACCTCGATCAAAGGGGAGGCGGGACTTAGCTCATTTGCATAATGGGGGGAGGTGTGACCTGTCACTTTTTTATGCATACTAATGAGACGAAAGCGGGATGAATATTACTACTGATGTCTCTCAGAATCGAAAGAGAAAAACCTATGGGAAAAACACAAAAACATTGTACACAATTTAAACCAATAAATGTCGTATAATTAACAAGGATAAACTGATGTTTTTTATTTGATGAGCACTGCAGATATCACTGTTAAATCATTTGATCATTGGTTTTATTATGAAAACGTCGAGACCGGAAATACTGTTTTCAACCCGTAACTTTACATCGAGGCTGCCGCATACCTCAAATCCTCTTTGTAATATCTATCAAACTATAGATCCTACATATCGACTGGACGTGGATTCTAAACGTACAATCTACGCTTCTCGCAAGAAATCGAATCAAAAAGCGTTTTAATGGCCAAACTGTCCTACAATTTAGGATTTTACAGAGAGGGTTATTTGTGAATAAACGACCATCTGTAACGTTAGCATTCAACGGGAGCACTAGAGGGCGAAAACTTTAAAACGTAATTGTAGGACGTATTAAGCGCTTGAACAAACGACATATTTGGTCGTAATAAGGGCCCGAACAATCGGCCCATTTGGTCGAATGAGTTGGAGGACTTGTTGCGTTCCACACACACACAGAGCCTAGCTTGAATGAAACACAGAGACCCAGACGTACTTGTACTGTTCTGTATCATATTATTTTCGAATTAATAATAAAAAAAAATTCAAAACCATTTTTCCTCCTGGTCTCTCGCGCCCTCCCAGTCATGCCTCTGCGCCCCCCACTTTGAGAAACACTGCTTTAGGGGCTCCGTACTAGACTAATTACTTGACAGCATACACATTGGTATAACATACTAGAAGGCAGTCTCAACATTGAAAAACTCACAAGAATTATACATACTGTAATTCATGTAGAAATTGTAAATTGAATACTTTGATTTAACACACAGCCAGACTTCGTTTTGGAGACAAACTTAACATTAGCATTTAGCTTAACGTTAGCCAAGGAGCTAGCTAAGGATAACGAACCCTCCAACTATGAAGAAAAAACAGGTGATTTTTTAACGTAGCGGATGCAGTGGCTAACTTTAGCAAGCCAGCTAGGAAGACAACATAAACATGTTTAACTAGTTAACCAAGTTTTTTATAGATAAATGAAACTACAGACACTTAACCAGTTTTGACCATCTAGTGAAACCCAAACTTAAGAGCATAATGGGTCTTTGTTTAATGTTAAAAAAGGGACAATAACCAAAAGACACAGTAAATACTATGCGGCAAACAGTGGCGGCTGGTGGAAATTATTTTAGGTGGGGCTATTGTAATGGTGAATAAACCACAGGGGCCCTGTGGTTTATTCACCATTACAATAGCCCCACCTAAAATAATTTCCACCAGCCGCCACTGTTTGCCGCATAGTATTTACTGTGTCTTTTGGTTATTGNCCCTGGTCTCTAGCAGGGATGGAAAAGGGGGTAAAAAAGGTTCTGATTTTAGTTCCGGCTCTTTTTGGTGTGAACGCGACATTTCGGAACTATATCGGAACTAAAGTGGGAAAAGTACTGCGGTGGGAAAAGTACTGCGGTGTGAACGCCGTTTATGGTCTCCAGTACTTCCAGTCCAACGCCTACTGCTTGCACAGCGTTAGAAAATCGGCACTTCAAAATAAAAGTTTGACTTTCTTCCAAAAATAAAAAAGACTCGCTTTTGGGTCGCGACCCAACAGTTGAGAACCACTGCTCTAGTATAAGCGCTTGATTTCCTGGTAAGAATACATGACATGAAGACTCAGTTGAACGTTTTGGTCCTGTGCTTTGCAACCAATAAACCCATCTGTATGAATGAATAACCCACACTGTCATTGTTAATAAGATCTAAGCAGTACATATTACCAGTTTGACTTGGTAAAGGTTGACAAAACTGAGAGTGGGCATTTAAATAAATACATTTACTCAAGTACTGTATTAAGTATACATTTTAGATACTCGTACTTCACTTCATCATCTTCATTTAATGCAACTTTATACAGTTAATACTTCCCATGAGGGATACATAAGCTTCCCTCCCCCAGTTTTAGTCTGACAGCTTTACTTACTTTTCAGAATACAGTTTTGTGTCCCCTTTCTGTCCGATTAATTGGATTGTTAGCGATAAACTGTTTCTTAAGGGCTGACAAAAATAGCATATACGTCCTAAGAAAAACTCTAAAACTGTCTAAAACCCTCTTCAATTAGCTGGAAAATGTGTTGCCGCAAAGAACTTTCTTTTTGACATCTTAAAAAGTTGCTTTTAGAGTGTGATTGTCTTTCTTTATATTGGTTTTTGAGGGATTGGAAAATTCTACATCCCCCTGTTGAAAATTGATTTTAGAGAAGATAGTCATTATTTTCTTCCAGATGTTTTAGGTTGGTGTGTGATGCCAATCTGAGTGAAATAAGTTGTGTGCTGTTGTTAAAGAGAATTGGGGACAAACTGTCATTATCTGTGACAAATGCATTCTGTGTTGTGGTATTAAAAAAAAAAACATGTTCTCTGCAAAACATTTTCCTCATAATGAAACAGGCATTTATCAACAGGAGTGTTATGAGAGGTCAGTGACAATTCATATATAACTGAAGTGATTCTGAAAGAAAGGCAAGGTTGCTGTATTTACACCTTAAACAATTTGTGCATCAGCATTGATTCACACAGACAGTGTGAACAAAGCAGACAGAGAAGACGGCTGTGGCTGTGTGTGTTAAGACGCTCGTCTAGACGGCGAGCAAGATCCTTCCCGTCATTGTTGGTTGGCATTGAGGGGCTGCAAAACAGGAAATAATATCTGAAGGAAACATACAGCTTTGAAGTTTAGAAAGTCAAAGACACGCGCTTTAAAATACAGCATTTAAACAATATTTAAAATGAAAGGAAAAAGAAATAAATGTTTTAAGAAAAGCATGGACTAGGCTACTTGAATACCTTTTTGTCTCTGAAACACAAATTCCTTGTAATTGCACCCCATAATATCTCTACAGGTGATGCATTGACACTTTTCTAAGTAGGTGCAAAGTTGAGGATCATGTAAGTTAAGCAGAATTTAGACTAATATTAAAATGTTAATCATTTAGATGTGTCTTTCGATAACCAATCTGTTTACAAACATGCAATTGAATGGCATGTCAAAAATTCCACATTTAAGTTTCTAAATAAGTTTCCATCGTTGTTTATTTGAGTTATTTTCATTTGTGAGATATGCCATGTCCTTGTGGAGGGGAAGAAAAATGACAGTGTTGTTTTCTAAAAGTCTCTTACGCCATCCTGTGGATCATTATAACAATAATAATTATACCAATACAAAAACATTTGATAACATTTTGTTCTATTATTTGAGCTGCATGTCTTTGTTTTACTCTAATTATCACATAACATTTCCTCCTTGGTTTTGTAGCAAACTCTTTAAAAAACACATTTTTGATTACACTGAAGAAGTATAGCGTGATGAAGAAAAAGGGAAATTATTTCAGGATAAATTGCTGAAAAACACACCATTACTTTTAAGTTTTGCAAGCAAACGGCCTAGAAAGCCTTCAATTGATTTCCTAAGAGCATCGAGAATAAAACTGATCATTTGTAATTGCCCATTGGCGTCTCCACACTCCAGTCCAGTAGGTGGTGGTAATGCACCTAATCGTTGAAGAAGAAGATTTGTCCCCGTTCGGCTACCGTTGTCAGTCACGTGATCAGACGTCACAATTGTCCCTTTTGGTTAACGGATAAACTGTAAAAAAAAAACAGTTGTTCCTTTTAAAACTTACTCAGTTAAATAAAAGGACAAGCATGGAGATTGGGACAGAGATCAGCAAGAAAATAAGAGTGAGTGACATTACAAGCTAAATATGAGTGATTTTCTGCGGTGCTAAGGCTCGTGGTTTACGCTCGTGTAGCAAAGACGTTGCTAGCTGTCGTTAGCAGGCTAGCTTGTGTTTCTCAGTGGCAACATGGTTTTTATTTTCAAGGCCGAGAAAGGTTTGCTTTATCAGTTGATACATTATCGAGTAGTTCGTTTTACAAATTTGTTATCGGTTTTTCGCCCCTTTCTTTTGGAAACCCCCGTAATAATGATACGTAGAGATAGTTTTAGATAGTTTAGAACGACTATAGCGAATGAATATGTGGAGCAGCACTTTCTCACACAATGTACACAATTCAAACCTAAACGTAAAGAATTATTCCCGAAATTCTATAGTGAGCAGCCTCAATTATTTAAAAACTATAAATATTACTCGGGGACTGAAACGAAGCTGCATTCTTGCAAGACAGTTTGTCTTATTATTTTCTTAATAATGTATTTTATTAATTGACTGACTCAACATTTGTTTTTCTTACTTGTGTTCCTTCAACTTAGTTATGAATTAAACAGTACATTTCAAATGTATATTTATGTATAGATGTTGCAATTGTACAAAGCTTTGGCAATACTGTCATTATGGTCATTCTAATAAAGCTATTTGAATGGAATATATCAGCGTAAAAAGGGGCTTATCAAAACATGTTTAAATATATAATAACATTTATACCTTTGGTCTGTTTCAGGCTGCTATCAAGGGCAAGCTTCAAGAGCTCGGTGCATATATTGGTAAGCGAATACGATGCAGATCTTGTATTTTGGGACGACTGGTGCTTGGATGAGACATAACATTCTGTCTGTGTTTCCTCTCTTTTTAGATGAAGAGCTTCCTGATTATATCATGGTGATGGTAGCAAACAAGAAAACCTCGCAGCAGATGGCGGACGACCTATCCCTTTTTCTTGGCAACAACACTAGTAAATTCACAATATGGTACGCCGAAAGCAGACCAAAAGTGTATATTACCAGTCTAATTAAATTACACATAGTTTTTTGTCAAGTAACATTATTAATATCAAGAATTCTCTCAGTTCTTGACATAACATGCATCTGTTTATTATTTTTAGGCTACAGGGTGTCCTCGAGAAGTTAAGAACGGTTGCAGCCGGTAAGTCGGATTAATTTATATACATTTAAGATTTTCTGCATTTTTAACCAGATGGAGATAACCTGTGTCCACTTACTGAATGCACAAAGCCTGTAGCTGTCTCCCACCAGCTATCATGCATATTATTACTTTTGTATTCTAGTAAACCTATTTTAATAAATGTCGCTTACTCTTTTTGTCTCTCTGTTAGGGGGTGGTGTTTGTGTTAAATATTATACATAACTGTATTACTATATTAATTTTTTAAAGCACAATAATTTCCTATGGGATTAATAAAACTGCTTTTATATTTTCTTATCTCCATGATTTCTCTCCTTGTCTTCCTACATGGTTTTTACAGAGCCTGCCTCCCTCAGCACACCAGTGCCTCAGTCGGACAGTGGTGCTGTGGCTGTGAGAAGCCGGTCGTCTTTGACTGAGGAAGTCAGAGCAGAGGAGTTAAAGCTGCTGATGGTGTCCAGCTCCCACTCTGATAGGACTGAAGCACGCGTGTCCAGCTCCGCTCATGAAAGCAGGTGTGTAAGCTTTTATTATCTTCATTCACTGTTTACATTTCATTGTTTCAATCAGCACACATGCATATTAAACATGTACATACGCCTGTGTTTCTTATCAGGAGAAGCAGCTTGGAGAAGAGTTCTTCTCGTCTAACCTCCACTGTGAAGCCCCTCATGGAGCCGCTCCCCTTAGATGCCATTATTGACATCAAACCTGACATGGATTATGACCTCATCGCTGAGGAACCTGTAGAAATCGCCACCAGCCATGGACGACCACGCGGGGCACCTAGCAGACCCACAGCAGAAATCTACCGACCGGGTCAGAGCAAGTATTCATCAGTTAGCTCTGCAGACTCGTGTCGGCCCTCAGAAGGATCCTCTCACTACAGACAGCAGGACAGCAGAAGCAGCAGATCATCCAGAACCGGATCCAGTAGGGTACTGTGATTCCATAAGATAATACAGCAACTTCCTGTTGACAAAGTGGGGGACGAGTGTAGGTTAGCATCCATAATAACAATGTACATGTCGTCTTTTTTTTCAGCAGGAGGAGTTGTCACGGAAGCGTAAGGCGCCTGTAGCGAGTTCTGTGGTGCGGGTGAACAGAGTGGCAGATGAAGACAGCGATGACATGGAAGAGGAGGATACAGGCTATGGAGGCAGAGGCCTATCCAGTAGAGTGTCCCTACCATCCAAACCAGAACGCAAGTCAGTGTCAACCAAATGAAATACCAAGATTGTAATTCATTAATAAATAACCACAATAATGCAGCAAATATTTATGTAGTTACAATCCATATTGTATTTTGCATTAGACCTTCTACTGCAGGGTTCCCGCGGGGTCTTAAAAAGTCTTAAATTTGATAATCTGAATTTAAGGCCTTAAAAAGGTCTTAAATATGACCAAAAAAATAAGAAAGGTCTTAAATATGATTTAGAAGGTCTTAAAAATTATCGGATTTGAAAGGTACTTCTGTGTTGCGATAGCGTCTAAATGTGTTTTGGGGGAAATGTCCGGGCTGCAAAGTAACCAGTACGGTAATAGCCTTTCAGTTCCCCCCAACAATTTGTATTGAATTAAATCAACATGGAACCAGTAATCACTAACTTTGTTTCCCCCGGCCCCTTATTGGAGAACACCCAGCTAGTAACCTAGCAACCAAGCTTCAGCTTGCGGCAGTCAGAAACTCATGTATCTTCGAATATACTTACAAATTAATATGGGGAAGTGTCAGTTCAACCGTATTTGGTTGAAACCAGTGGAGGGGAACGTGTTTGAAGCCCGCCGCACCATTTGCAAAAGAAATAAGAGTTTGTTTTGCTAATGTAGCGTTAGCTAGTGGAGCGTTAGCTAGTGCAGCAGCTCCCGCAACAACACCGGGGGACCTCCGGGCGACGTTTGGGTCTACGTCAACCCTAAAAGCGGAGGTGCTGTAGACGCTAAATACCGTAGCTAAACACCAATCATACAACAGCAACGATGAAATAGTGTAGCCCAGCGGTTTTCAAAGTGTGAGGCGCGCCTCCCCTGGGGGGCGCCAGAGAGCTTCAGGGGAGGCGCAGCGTGAGACACACAAGAACGAGAAAAAGACGAGTAAAGTGACACTTGCCCACTTGTGGCTGTCTGTGGAGACCGAGTTCCCCCACCTCGCCAA